CAGATACTTGGTATTATTTTCCTTTCTTATGCTTTACCATTTGAATGGGTGCAAAACGGTATCTAGTTCTAATTGATATTTTACTGGTTTCAAGTGTTTTTGGGCATCTTTTCATATTCTGTTTAGCTTTTTAGGCTTTGGTTCTGAAAACTGTTATCTCCTTTGTATAAAATGTATATCCTTTTTATTGTTAACATGCAAAATTTTTAAACATATATCTCCTACCATTCTATTAACTGTATCTATAATATCCTTTACTAAACAGAAATGTTAAATTTTATTGAAGTTATATTTATCAAACACCTTTCTGCTTTACCACTTGATTCTTCATGTTGGGATCTTGTTGAAGATAACTTTCCTTACTCCTAGAACACAATATATTATTGTATGCTTTCCTCAGTTTGCTTTATAGCTTCTCTTCCATATTTTCTCCCAGTACCATCTATCAAAAAAAAAACACCATTTCAGAAAATATCCATCATTTCCCCATTTACAAAAATAAGTGGAGGATAATCTAATAATCTTCTCCATCTAACCCACAGGTTAGACACATGGATATTGTATGTAAAATGGCTTAATTACCTGTAAAGTACAAAACTAGCTATTGTTGTGGTTGGATTTGGAAACATGGCCATTTTCATTTCTCCGAGTTTCTCTCTTCATGGGGGGAGCTATATCTCAATCAGATCCTGTTGAGGCATTAGTTTGATGTAGCTGGAAATATAATTAGGTCCCTAGCTCTGATCAAATCTCTCGCCTGGACACACCATTGCTCCAAAGCAGCTCATAATAGTGTGGGTTAGAATCACAGAACAAATTCATCACATTTAAGATCACTTATTCATTGTCTTTCCCATCAGATTATAAACTCCTTAAGAGCAGTGATGTTTTCTGTGTGGTTCATAAATGCTTCAAATGAAGTAACGAACACAATTCTTTCTAATTTGTTCACTTTTACTGGAAAGACCTACCCTACTGTGCAAAAGAGTTACCAGGTGGCTCTCCATTCACTAGAAAGATGAGTTTTTCTCATTTGGAAGCCCATAGTTACCTATCTTTTAAACATATATCTAACAAGTGGCACAATAATTGGCACATGGTAGAAGCTCACTAATCCCTGAATAAATAAGTAAAAAAGTACAGAGTGTGGCCCTCAGTAGATTAAAGTGGAGAACACAGAAAGTTCTGGTTACATATCACTGTAACTTTGGTTTGAGGTAAAAGCCAGATTCTTCAGCCCCTACCCTTCACTCTGAGCCTCTAGAAGGACTCTAGTTTTCAGAGAAAGTAAGTCTGGATATCATGTCACATTATCCTGAGAAGAAACTTGAACCTCACAGCTTCTGTTTCTATTTTAAGAACACATCTCTTCAAACTGGGTTCCATGTCTGCCAAGGCTGAGCTTCCAGCCAGAAAGACAGCATTGTGAGTACCTGCTCTGACCAAGGGATGGGAGACAGAAGGTTCTGGTGAATAAATGGAACAGTATCATTAATGCAAATTACACATGCATTGCCAAATTTTCTGGGAGTGAAAATACTTGACTAATGAGAAAAAGCCTTTTTACTACTTGCTAATTTTGTAGCTTCAGAGCCTCAAACTCTCTAAGTTTGTTTTCATTTGTAAAATGGGGAAGAGAGTAACACCTATCTTTATAGAGCAGGAGTTGGCAAGCATTTCTGTAAAAGGCCAAATAGCAAGTATTTTTGGTTTTGCCAAGGATCCCTATAGGTTTTGTCATGGCTGCTCGACTCGGCCATTACAGTGTGACAGCAGCCAGAGACAGAACAGGAGTAAGCAAGTATGGCTATGTTCTGATAAGCTTTACTTGTGGACACTGAAACCTGAACTTACTATATTTTCATATGGACATAACATACTGTTCTCCTTTTGAAGTTTTTTCCAACATGTAAAACCCATATCTCGCCAGGAGACCACACCAAAACAGGTGGCTAGCTGTACCTAATCCTTGTCTGTAGCTTGCCAACCCCTGTTACAGAGCCTCTGTAAGGCATAAATGAAGTCCATGATAAGGACTCAGTGAATGCTAGCGATTGCCATCATAAGTTATTTCAGTGAAAAACAAACAGAATTCAAGTGTACAGATGCAATTTGATGACAACTATGTAGGTATAGAAAGAAACTGTGTCAACAGTTAAGATGTTGGGTTGAGGAGGTCCAGCTTAGGAGGTTTCTTCTTTTCTTTAATGAAACATAAAATTTACATTATAATAAAACCAGAAGCTTCAACAAAAAAGACCCAATCCAGAGAAGAGTTGACAATAATTTTGTCAAATGTAAACTCAATCTTTCTTTCACAACTGGAAGGCACTCAGATGTTGGTTACTCCCAGGATCCCTTTATGCACAGGTTACCACCGCAGAAGATGGTGGACAGAGAACCAAAATGGAAGGACTAACTCTGTGCTCCTTATACCACACCCAAGGAGCAGCCTGCCAGCAGCCCCACCTACTCTTTTCTGTCTTCCTTCTTAGTGTGATTACTGCTACAAAGGCAAGAAGTGCACAGTCTATCAGAGGAGACAGATGAGAAGATCTCTAAATACAGGTTCTTGTAGAAAAGGAAAGCAGCAGGAGAAAAAGGAAGAGACTCCAACTTAGTTTGGAGGTGGTGGTGGTCATGGTTGGGTAATTTGAGAGATTTTTTGGAGGGGTGGAGATGGAGTTAAGATCTAAAGGAAAGGAAGAGGGAAGCCCGAAGAGTGTAAGAACAGCAATCTAGGCAAGGAGTGGGATTGCACCACAGTGCAGCAGCATGGGGCAATGGCCACAGGCCAGACAGCAGAGGGATTGCTGATAGTGGCCAGAGGGTAGGATGCTGCAGAATGTTGGGGAAGATGCTGCCTTGGGAATAGGCAGGATCTGTGGACTCCAGACGCCATACTTATGTTTTGTTCTGTATCCTCATCTTACATACCTAGATTATTTCGCAGTAAGAAAGATGTCCACCCAATAGTATTAACTAGGGAAATGAAATGAGATGAAGTCATAAGTCCTCAGGATACTTCACGATATGCTTTATGCTGTTGATTTGTTTTGGAATAATTTTCAAATTTAATGCTTTTCTATAAGGCATTGTAAAGCACTGCAATTTCAAACAATACCTGCATTTGATAGCCACTGAGCTTCTGGAATTTTCCTAACAGTGGAGGACTTACATCATGAAAGAGGATCAGCTATTCTGACTGAAGCAGACCATAGGATGGAATGTAGAATGAGAACTGGGATGATGGCTTCCTAAGCAGTCTGCATTGCAAGGGGACTTGGAAGCTGTTCATTGGTTGTTTAAGGAAAAATGTGCAAGTAGAAGATCCATTTCAAATGTTTTGTTTGAGAGTCCAAACCAAAGTGAGTGCTACTTAAAAGTAGTTGTTAGATAAAAATCCAATGTGTTGGAAAAAAAATAGTTTTTGCATTAAAAATTTTAATTTCAATTTATGCTTCATCAATATGGGTTAAAAAGTGATCTTTAATTCTTCAAGCTTCACCAAACCCTGCATCTATATGATTTTCTAATGTGTTTTGGTAAGGATGAAGTAAATGAAAACCCTGCAAAAAAGGATGTTAGGTTAGTCTTTGAATGAGGGCATTTTTAAAAATTATGGGGACATTATATCAGATGATTATTTGAATAGTTTCTTGGTAAAAGTCAGTTGAATTTAAGCAATTATTTTAAAACAAAATTTTAAAAGACTTTGTTTAGCTGAACACAGTGGAACCAACCTATAATCCCAGTAACTCAGGAGGTTGAGGCAGGAGGATCTCAAATTTGAGGCCAGCATAAGCAATTTAGGGAGATCCTGTCTCAAAATTTAAAAAAAGAGGGTGGGGTTTGAGATGTATGTAGCTCAGTGGTAAAACACACTTGGGTTCAATCCCTTATATTAAAAAAAAAAAATAAAAGACTTTGTTTTCTTAAATGTTGGAGGTAGCAACCAGAATGGTTTAGAATTAGAAGCAAAAGTTAACTATTCTTCCACCTATGTTTCTGACAAATGCCAGGACTGCTCTTCCTTTATATTCATTTTTCATTTGCAAATGAGGGAGATTGCACATGTAATCTACGAACTTCTAATACTGAAGGTGGAGTTTTAAGTGCACTAAAGGATGCTGAGAATAGAAAGCTTTTGGTTTCAGAATTCCAATTATTCTAATTCTTCTAGTCTCTGTTTTGCAAACAAACCAGCTCCCACTTCCCAACCATGGGGATTAATACACCACATCCTTGGACCCTGTGGAGACTGTTAATAAGGAAAATCTATTACATAGATTATTGACTGTTGCATCAGATAATTTGATATTTTCTTGCCAACAGTGGTCAAAATGGAGTGCCATGAAATTCATCTTTTTAGCAGAGTAAATGCAGTATGTAGCAAGAACAAAACAAAGTACTCATTATCCTTTGACCCACTAATTATATTGTTGAGAAATAACCAAGCAGAAAGATATTTTATGGTGAAAAAGAAAAAAAATGCCAGTAATTTGAAAATGGTTAACTAATCCAGAATTTTAAATTCATAAAAGATGATATAACCATTGAAAAAGACATTAAAAAAAACCAAAAAAATGATACGAAGACCATGAAAATACAGTACAAAATTTGTACTAAATAATAAGTATATTATATATGTACATATTGATCCTAAAAATGCACAAAGTGCAGTTGTGTGACATGGAGAAGAGGAATTCAAGAGACTTGTAAGGGTGGCTGGTGCAAATTACATGTAGCAGTTCTCTTGGGAACAGGGTTTTTCAGGGTAATCTGTGAAACAGTACATATGCTGATAGGGTCAACATGTCCCTTAAGCTTTCCCTCTTTTTCTTAAGGCCCCCCAAAATAGCCTTGTATTTGCCCATTTTCTCTTTTCATGTCCCCCAGGACTTTTTTTTTCCCCCTGCTGATGAACATTATTTTCTTCAATAATTGAATTTAATAATTTTTCTTCAATAATTGAATTTCATTAGACACCCATCACTCACTCTCTGGTGCGCCCAGGACCTTCCTTCCGGCGGAAATCATGACCACTTGGAGAGTCCACGCTCCCACCTTTCCTCAGAGTACGAGCAGCTTTGTCCTTAGGGAAGTCTGACATCATCACACTGTATGGAAGACAAATTGTGCAAAATGGCAAAAGAAATATCTGAAAACCTTTTAGTTACCCAAATATTGTACATAAATCCTTTACCCAGCCTTTTAGAATGGCCAAGTGAGGTTTCCTCAAGAGGAATACATAGTGTGTGTTGATATTCTGGTCACTTATAACTGGAAATAGAACTCTGAGAACTTATATTTATGCAACAGTGTATCTAATTCACACAAGTAAATATTAAATTGCAGAACTGGTGAAGAGGAAGGAAGTAATTGAAAAAAAGAGCTACGTGTAGAAGATGCTATTCCACACCCACACCAGAAATCTGTATTTTTATTATCTCCACATTTAATCTTCGCAAATAATTACTAATTAATACGTTGCTATTGCTATAAGATTAAAATGAACTGACTTCCCCTAAGAGCTGTTGTTTGTTTTTCTCTATCAAAAGCGGTTTATTTTGTAAAGGGTTAACAGGACTTAACTTCAATGAAGTGATTTATTGGAAAACCTACCTCCTTCTCACAAAGGCTTATTTAAAATCTGGAAGCAGTGGACTTCCCAGACTTGCACCCTGACTGTGATGCCCTCACTGCCTACCTCTATTCAGGTGTTCACTTAAATTATTTCATAATCTGTGCATCTCAGAGCCCTAACACTGCGCTAGGCAGGAACAGGACCAGGCAGGGGAGTGTGAAGGGCCAAGATCACGCCGCACATTCCAGTATCCTCAGTGCCAGGGCGGGCCCTGGGCGTGTGCCTGGGCATCTGAGCGGCCTGAGCCCCGCTGGGCCTATGTGGATGAGGCATGAGTGCTCCTGCAAGGGGACTAGGGATGTGGAGAGAGAAACACAGGCGGCCAGATGACGAGAGTCGTTTATGTTCAGCTCCAAAGTCAGAGGAAGCCCTCGCCCTCCTTAGCTATTTCCCAGCTGCCCCGCAGGCCGCGCCCACCCCGGGAAGACCCCAATTGGAACTTGGGTTGGAGGTCCCCAGAGGTGCAGCAGCTGGCCACAGGAGGACCACCTGGAACTCGCGCTGCTTGGCTTTCTAGGGGTCGCCACGCTGGGCAGCTCCGCGCGCGCGTCGTGCATCACCTTCGAAGCCCAGGCACTTGGGCGGGTGGGGTCCTAAGGCCCGGACCTATTTCCAGTTCCCAGATTTAGGATCAGGTTTTCTTATTTGTTGGAAGAAAGAGGAAAAAGGTAGTGGAGATATCCGGGTCATGGAAGACCATTTCTTACTATTGAACCTCTACCTCTCCAACCGCTTTTCCTCCCCTCCAGTCCTGTGCACGACAGAAAGAGCTCCCTTACCTACAGCCCAGCTAGGGTGGCGAGAGCTGCTCTGCAGGGGGCCACCTGGACTTCGGCTCATTCACTGCGGGCACGGGGCAAGCAGCCTGGCTCTGTCTGCCAGGTCTCCCTCTGCCAGCGGCTGCCGGCGCACTCCCCCTGAACTCCGCGACTGGTCTCCAGGGTGACCTCCTCAAACAATGCCCTCCGCCCGCCCCGCTAGACTTGGCTGCTATGTGGTACTCTGAGCCGCTCTAGGGTTGTAGACGGGGCCACCCTGCAGTCCACTGCGTTCTGGGATTGCAGAGATTTGGCACTCAAGACGCCTCTCCATCTTGTTCCCTTTTCCGCGGTTGTCAGGGGTAGAAATAAGAGGTGCTGCGGGATTGCAATCAACACCCCCCCCGCCCCGCCCCTAAGCATCTTCCCCCTCCAAGGCACAAATGGTTGATGACAAGGGTAATTGAAACTTTATCTTTGTCAGAGACTGTTTGATTTATTCAGTTGTTTCAGCAACTTTATCAAGAAAGGATTGTTCTTCCTTTACAGAATTAGAAAATTGAGATTCTCTGATATTAAGTAGTATACCCAAGGGCTCCCCTGGTATTAACACAAGGTATTAACTGCTGCCTGTTAACAATGCTGGGGCAGAACTCTTCCTAGCCTAATAAGGTTAAGAAACTTTGGAATGGAGGCTGCTATAACTAATAAGCCCTGTTTCCCCTTCAGTAACCACCCCCTTCTCCAAGAACATTAGTCCTCCCCAACAAAAAAGAAAACAAAAAACCCTGTATGTAAACATTCCCCCACCCCCCATTGGAGGAAGAGATAAGATAAAGTCCCTAGGCTCCTAATCCAGTGCACAGGCTCTTGAAGAGTGTTCACTGTAGCCAGCATTAGCTGATGATAATAACTCACATTAGGATTACAATAAAGCACAGTTAACATAGTGTTGGAAGGAGAGCATTGAAGTTTTCTGGCTCATCCCAATCCCCATTCACAGGAAAATATCACCAGTAAAGCATTGCTTATTGAATATTTACCCTGGATTAATTATGAACTGCTAAGGGACTGATAGATAAAACAAAATAAATTAAATGAAATCATTTAATCTGTTCAACAACCCTATGATTTTGGAGCCATATTGTTCTATTTTTTTAAGGTAAGGCAATGGAGAATTGCTTAGTAACATGCTCTGGTCTACAGTTAAACCATAGAACTGGGATTTGTCTGATTCTAAAGCCCTTGACTTTTGCCAGACCCTTGGCCCATCATCCCCACCACCAACATGCAATGAAATGTCCCAGACATGCACATAAATTTTTAAGAGGCTGGCAATAAAAGAGGTTCACAACTCAATTTATTTTAATTTTTTTCCAGAAAAAAAAATCACATTTCTATAACAGCTTACTCACAGGTAGAATTAAACTTTATTCTGAAATGGGAACCTTATTTGCAGTAATGTGTCATGACAAATAATTGCATATTCAAGATTTTGTGAAATGAGTGATAGGGCAAGTTAGGAAGGAAAAACATTTATAAAAATCAGTATTTACAAAAAAGTGATATCCACACTTTTTCTAACTTATAAGGCAAGTAAAGTTAAGATGGTCTCACGATTATCTCCAACAAGTCAACACTTTGTGTTCATCCCCAGCGCTCAGCAAAAGCTCTGCTCAGCTCTGCAGGCAGCAAGTGTCTGCAGCTTTGCTGGTCTCCTCTGAGATCTGCAGAGAGGCAACAGACCTTCATCATAGCCTGAGCCGGAAGGGTGTCAGAATAAAGTATGCCCTGTATACGTGGGCATGGAGCAAAACAAGGTGAAACAACCACATTTTGACTAAATTTAAAATGTATTTTGAGTATTCTAATCCATAATTCTGATTATAAATATTTTATGCCCAAGGCATTTTGTGAAATGATATACTCAGCACAAGATTGTAAGGAAATTCAGTATCTTTTTGCTTCATAGATGATGAACTCTAAATAATATCTATCACCAAATCAATGCACATACAGACACCATTGTTCTTAATTAACTAAATTGCATTTTACCTTTAGACCACAGCAAAATTTCTCTTGAGTTCCTTTTCTAGTTTCTTATTGTACAAGTTAAAAAAAAATCAATGTCTTACATTGTGTCTCTTAGTAGGAATGTAAATGAAAATTTGACCATTTCATTCATACAGATCTCTTCCTATCCAAGTGAAAAACAAACAAAAAGACTTCTTAACTAAAATACAGTAGTATTCAAAGAGCCAGAGCTGTAAATTACTGCTTGACTATAGTGGAACTCTGCTCATAGATGGATCAGCATAATATCATACTAACACTTGGCTTTTCAGGGAAAAATCTTTAGTGGCAATTTCCCAATTCCCTTAGACTTAGAGAAAGAGAGAAGGAGGGAAAAAGGTGGGGAGGGAAGGAAGTGGAGGAGAAAAGAGATGGGGGCGCGGAGAATATAAATGAATGAATGAATCAGAAGCCAATCCCTTTCTTCTCTTTCATGCATATTCACATAACAAAGTAAGAAATAAATACTGACCTGCAAAATCAACACAGCTTTAAGATTTTTCATCCTAACAACTCATAAAGAAAAGAAAAAAATTAAAATCTTTCTTTGCATCTTGGGACAGTGATCCTTGTAATAGTCATTTGGTGTATTATTTAAAATGGCTTAAAATGGTAACACATACATGAATAACATTAAGCATTTGTTTTGCCATAAAAATGTCAATAATATATAATAATAAATAATAATAATATAAAACTGAATAAGGAGAAATTAACATTTGCACGATATACTCATTCAGTGGAACATTTTGGAATTATAGATGGCTTATGCACAAACTCTGAATGGATTAAAAATTGATCTATATTTGGAGAAATGTAAAGTAATTCAGCTTTACTGTTTTTCTATTTGTAAACAATTTACCCAGGAATTTTATAAAGGAACATTATCCATTATACACATACACACACACACACACACACACACACACACACACACGTATATATGTATATATATAGATAGATATTGATTTGCAAAAAATAAGCAAAATAAACAATAACTGTGAAATGCTCATTAAAAGAATGTGGAGTCCTACAAAAATCTATGCTAAATAGTGCATTGTTCTTAGCTTTAACTAAAATGTTTTTCATATAATTGTTAACAAGCTTATGTAAAATACTGTCAACATTTATCTATCATGATTTGGTTTCTTAAAGCTGTTTGCTAAAATATGACTGTAGATTGCTCACTAGCATTAATTTTACTCTGCCAAGAATTTGGAAGATCTTTAACAATTGGGGCCCTGATGTGCTGTTCATAGATGCAGGTCTTAGAGACAAAATTTAAAACAAAACAAAACAAAATATGTTTCATTGTTTTGTTTACAAATATTTTAGGTGAGAAAGTTACATTCACTAAGAGATACTAATGAAAAGAGATAGCATGAAATGGAAGAATTCTCTTAAAGTTAAAACAAAATCCTAGAAGCATCTTTTCAAAAATTCCCTGGCTATATTATTTGCTGTTATTGGAATATGTATGAGTATTAAAAGAAAACTTTTCTAAAGTTTTTCAAGGTATGATTAGAAATAATGTCTTACTGATCCAATAACTTTCTTGAGTTTCGTTAAAACACAATATTTATTGTCAAAAATCCAAGCAGTGAGGACTATGGTATAGGACCACTCATTTTTGGATCACAATGAATATTGCCCAAACTTGTGGACCTGAATGTGGATTGGAAAATACCAGTGTGTGTATTAATATAGTCCAAATATATACTTTACATCTTTTCTCTAAAACATTAAGGGGTACTTAAAAATATATTTCAAAGTCAAAACATCTTTTCTTGCAACCTTAAAGATGTATTCAGGAGAGGCCAATGCACTACTGCCCTAAAGATAGAAGAAGGAGATCAGAAATACTATAAATCAAAGGAAAAATAACTTCAAGAATTAAAGTTAGAGAATAAATTATTATACCACTGGCAAAGGGCGACAGAGGACTTTTTTCTTATAGAAATACCCTTTAGATTAGAAATTACATACTAAACCTGAGGACAAAACAAATAGTCTCACAATAGTCAACTTGATAGACCTTAAAATCTGATATCCCTTCAAGAAGGAGACTAAAGTTTCAACAGGACATTTAAAATGCAGCTGTAGTCAGTGGTGGCACATGTCTAAAATCCCAGTGGCTCTGGAGGCTGAGGCAGGAGGATCTTGAGTTTAAAGCCAGTCGAGCAAAAATGAGGTGCTAAGCAACTCAGTGAGACCCTATATCTAAATAAAATACAAAATAGGGCTGGATATGTGGCTCAGTGGTCCAATGCCTCTGAGTTCAAAATCCTTGATAACAAAAAAAAAAAAAAATTGGCACAAAAGAAAGGAAGGTGTTTGTTGTTTTCTTTTGATATTTGGAGATTTAAGCAACGTACTCCTATCTCATTTTTTCCTCTGTATATTCCATGGACAAAAAGTAATGAAAAAGTAACCATGGTTAATCCATGAGTAAGAAAGTGGTATTTCTATACTGTTTGATAAATAAAATAAAATTTAAAAAAACCAAAAAGCCCCATTTGACTAATTGTTTTGACTTATTGTATTAATTTCATGGAAACATGATACTTACATTAATTTTTAAAGTGATTTTTAGAGCCTGCCTTGATTTTGATATTATTAAAAAATCTGGTTTTATTTTTTAAAGAGTTGCTAATATAAAAATCATGTGACAAAATGAATACATTTAGACTAAATGGGATTTGGCTTAAATGTATACTCTTCTGGGGAGAAAAAAGCAGAAACAGAGATGTGTGCCCACATTCCCCTTCTTGGTAGGTATCTGCATATTTTACTGTATCACCAACTTTAATGGAGAAACTGTGATTATTTTGAAAAATTCAAAAATAAAAATGATTGGTGCAACTCTTTTAGAATAAGGCTGATTCATGCCTGAGACACTGGGTTCAATTCTCACCACCAAATATAAATAAATGAAAAGTTTAGTTTACTTGTCAAATGGACCAAGAAAAAAAAACATTTAAAAAAAGCTATAAAATAAAGAAGGCCAACTCACAAGATAGAGGTCTGGGTGTCCTTTGCAAGGAAGGAGACATTTATTAGAACTTGGTAGTGGGAATGAGTGACAATGTATGATCCTCCTACTATCTCAAGTCTTTTAAGACAATGAAGACAAGGACAGAGAATTGAAAATAAGAGAATGCATTTCAAGCTACTTTGAGAAGGTAACAGCATAACAGAAGGACTCCAAAAAAGAAAGGTAAGAATTTTTCTAGGAAAATAATTATAAAACTATCTTTTTTTTTCTAAGACTGAAGGAAGTTAAGTTTACTAAATGAAAAATAAACTCACTAGAAAAATGATATTCAATTTAGAATTTAATCCTTATATTAATATATAAATTCTGATATAATGCCAGAACTGAAAAAGATTTTGAAGAACGACTAGAGCAATTATTCTGAAACTTTGAGTGCTTACCAAAATACATATTCCTAAACTCCATCCTTGGAGATTTATTAATTCAATAAAAACTTGGGGTTATAGTGATGACTAAGACCACATCATTGTTCTCTTATGTGAAGATACAAGTGGTCCATATACCGTACTTTGAGAAACACTGATTTTTTTCAACAATTTTGTTATTGAATTATCCTTATTTCAAGGCTAGTTTTTCATATTGTCTTTTACTTTGGCATTCAAATGGAGTGTGTGTAATAAAATAAAATAGAGGAGATTCTCCCCACCCACCCAAGGACAAATTAGAAGAGCTCAAGGTGGCTCCTGTGCCTTCAAAGTAATTGGGTATTCTAGTTGTAGTACCACTTGGGTGAGTTAGTCCATCTATCTAAGCCTTAATGACATCATTGGGAAAACAGGAATTAAAAGGAGTACTTAAAGAATTTTTGGATTTTTATAAGAAATAAAGGAGCTTATATCTGTCACTGGTACACAGCAAGCACTCAAGTATATATTCACTTTCACAGTGTACTGATTGATTACCATGAATGTACAAGTTTCCTTATAGCGCCTTAAAAGTGGTTTATCTGAATAAAGTGGAATTGTGGAACTTCAGAGTCAGAAGATACTTTACACCTCATCTGTCTGTTGTTATGGTATTTAAATTAAGCTGCTGGAGAAGATGCTTTGAGATGTTTTGCCTAACAGAATTCCATGTAAATTTTATTAGAAAGAAGTCCTGCTATGAAGAAAAGCCTGAAAACCACAGCAGTCCCAGCCTCTCATTCTAAAGAAGAGAACTGAACAGTATAGAGACTTATCTAAGGTCACGCAGCAGGAGTAATGGTAGAACTAATGTACTTATCCTCTTCTTTGAAAAGAAGATTTTAAAATGGAAATTTGTGTAATTATAGGTCAAACATTTTTCAGATTGAGATTGAGTTAAAAAAAAAATAACAAAGCCCAGAAAGAACATCTGTCATTGACTTTCTGAGGATTCTGTGTATTCACTCAAAATCACAAGAAATGTGGGCATTCTTTCCTTAGAGGTGAATATATTCCCAAATACCACACAGTGAATTTTCATTTGATTGTAGATGAAGTGAGTAGAGCTTTAAAATGTAGTATTTAATTCTTAGTAATTATACATTCCAATTATGATAAAATTCAGACTAATTATTAATAAGAATTTATTTTTAAAAATTTCATAAAAATATGGGATTTATTTGAAGAGAAAAACATACTTTTCATCTTGCCAAAATAAAGCAGTACCATTTATACTTTCTATCTTGTTAGAGCAGAGGCTTTTTGAATCAGAATGTTCAGGAAACAGTGTTCAGGTTAACTAGAACTTTTAAAAAAATTTTTTAAAATTTTAACCCCTTATACTGCAAATCATCTTAGGATGTACTAGTCTACTTTGTTCTGACCTAGGAACTGATCATGAATCTGACTTGATATGTCTTTGATAACTGAGACTTTTGCATTGTTTAGGATCTTTTTTTTTTTTTAAGAACATGAATTCTTATTCTACAGTACTGTGAAAATATAGGCTTAACCTATAATTAAAAAAAACAACAACAACAAAACACCAAAATCTAAATCCCTGATACAAGCTTATTGTGTTATTATTTGACCTATTTTCTGAAGGGGGAAGGAATACATTCTTATTGAGGTTCTGGTTATTCAATATTTAACAATTTTGAAATCAATGACTTCCATTTGGTTTCATGAAGGCCAAATATGGGGTCATAGGATTTCTTCATAGTTTCAGATTTAGTTCCTGGAAACATTTGAACAACGTTAGAGACTACCGAAATCTATATTTTTAATACATTTTTTACAATATCAACAAAATTATTCTTTGGAAAAAAATTGTGTTTAATTACTAATTCAGTCTAAATCTATATAAAATAAAATATAAAGAGAAAAACATGAGAACCAGTAATATTTACACATTTTTAATATGCTTTGTGTTAATATTCAATGTTTTTTCATGAACTGATTACTTAAAAACCACGTTTTTATTTTCTTACTATGTGTAATTCTCAGTTTTCTGTTGTGTGCTCTCCATTGATTTTAGTGTTCTGAATTTTCATGTTTTGGGGATTTAAAAGTTTGCATTTTTCAAATTTGATTTCAAAATCAGATTGAATATTTTTACTTAAAATGAGTATATTAATTAGTTTGTTCAAAAAAGCTTCAATATACAGGACTTTGGGGAACTAACTGACAGCTTGTTTGAATAGTCAGAATTCTTTTAAGGTAAAACAGGTCATTCTAAACATTCTCTTGGTAGCAAGCATTGATTGAAGAGAACAAATATTAATTTAAAAATTTCCACTATAAACAATTACCAGTCACAATCTCACTTTAAAAGTAAGACCTAAAAAATTTAATTTCATTCTAAAATTTAAAGTGGCCAAAGACTCTTTGTCAAATTTGAGTGAATATAAATTGAAATTTAGCAGTTAATGGCAAATAGAACAATTAATTTCAGTTATTTAATAGTATAACCCAGAATAGGACTTAGTTTATGTTTAAAGTAAGTTTTATGACTTAACGACAGAATAACATTTTCAGATCTTAATGGGGGAGGATTTTTATGATTGGGACTATTGAAGGAGTTGTCTTGGGGCCAGACTGAGAAATTGCAATTTTTATGGTACCTTGGGGCAATGAGATGACTTAGATGACTCTTTTCTTGATTCCCCATTAAGAGCAAAGATTGACAGATTTATACAATGAATATTAATCATCCCAAAGGAAATTTATTGTACAATGATGTGAATAGAATTTCATTTATAAAGCTTATTTGTTCTTTCCCAAATGATAAAAATGATAACAATTAAAATTCTCCTTCTGGATCTAAACAGGGAACTAAAAATTATTTTCTGAGATTCTTATTCTCAGTGTTTTGATTCCTGTGGGTAAAGAGGAAGACACAAGGTGTCATTCCCCCAGGCTGGATGAGAGAGACCATCTGTTCAGAGGAATTGTGCAAACGTTGTTAACCAGTTCAACTATGGAAAGTCTTAAAGATTAAAGTCACAATTTTGGTTTTAGTCGGACTGGTTATTCAGCAATCTCCACATTTGCTAAACTGCAGAGAGAGGGGGAAGTAGTTAAGATTTTGACATCTTCTTTACTCTTGATTATAATTTAATATACTTAAACTTTAAATATGAATTGCTTTCCCTTTTTACACAAGTTATAAAAATAAGAGGCCCTGTTTATAGTTTGCATTTTTATGAAATTTGCAGTTTGAAAAAAAAGCTCTTTAAAAAGTGGTAATTAATGCTTTTCTTTGAATATGCTGTAACCTTAGAATTTTTTTTCTGAAATAGTTTCTGAATTTAACCCACTAAACATTTGAAGATAGACTTTTTATTTAGCACTAGAGTAAAACATACTAAGGACTGAAGAAAAGAAAGTTTCTTTTTTCTTCTCGTTCCATTTAAGTTTCTTTATATGTGGCACCCCCTTTATGACAGCTATCAATATTATATTTAAATTTTATATATTGACAAAATGCAATCTACCTCTGTAAGCATTGTGCCATTCAACAGTACTACAATTGAATTTACATACCACAGTTTAAATTACATCCATTTCAGGAATGGTAAAATGCTAAAACTCAAGTGTCTAACTGCCTTACTGGAATGAGAATACAATTTACAAATACAATAATTACATTTGAAAACCATTAACAATATTACACCTAGAAGTAAATACTGTAGGATTGGTCATCATGGTGTGGTGTAAGGGAAATCACTGCTGAAAGCCATCGACTTTCCAGCTGATAGATCCCAAGTGCAGACATTGGTTTGCTTTCATCAAACCAGAATTAAAACCTGTTTCTCATACAACAGTTCTTCATTATATGAATCCTTGCATAAGATTTTTATTAGTTATCTGCCAAGTATTTTCCTGCAAAACAAAACAAAACAACATATCAATAGGTTATCTGCGATTTTGATACTGTGATTATTATATAGGTAACATTTCTATTCCTTTTGCCCTATCCCTTGGAGCCAAATATTGCATACTTTACGTTGCAACAATAACACAAACTACATAAAGGTTTTTGTTTGCTTGTTTGTTTGTTTGGTACCAGGGATTGAACTCAAGGGCACTTAACCACTGAGCCACATCCCCAGCCCTTTTTCGGATTTTATTTAGAGACAGGGTCTCACTGAGTTGCTAGGACCTCACTAAGTTGCTGAGGCTGGCTTTGAACTCATAATTCTCCTGCCTCAGCCTTCTAAACCGTTGGGATTACAGGCATGTACCACTGTGCCTGGCCCACTATGTAAAAGTTTTTAAACTTTCAATTTTCTACATCAGCTAGTTGACTTTTAACACTTCCATTTTTTGCAGAGGTTTGAGTTTTGCTCAGAATAGGTGGTGGTGTGTGGGGTTTTCCCCTGCATGTGAGAATCCAACTTATTTTAGGAAGGGTGCTCATACAGTTCATTTTCCAACTTGGTTTATTTTTGAGAGTGAAAGAGTTATAATTAACAATCATGTCAACATAGCAGTTTGGCAGGCATGAAAGACAGGACTTGGGGCTGAGATAAAGCTGAGTGGTACAGTACTTGTCCAGCATGGGTGAAGCCTTGGGTTCAATTGTCAGCACCACAAAAACAAAACAAAACAAAACAAAAACAAAAACAAAAAAAACCCAAAACCATACCAAACCAGGATTCATCCTGGAAAATTATACTTGACAAATATAATCACCTTGTATTGGGAGCCCTCCCCCTGCCCTATTTACAAAAACAAAATGAAAAAACCTAGCCTTTTTGCAAAACAAAACCTGTCTCGTGGTCATGTTCATTTCATGGGTAAATGGTTCCGATCTGTGATTTATATTCTTTAAAATTGTTATTAAAGTGAAAATAGATTCTTCTACTTCTCAGCTAAGCTTGCCACATCTAAACTCTATGAAGTCCTGATGGAACTAAAAGTTTACAAGAAGTCCAATACTCCCATGCCTTAGGTATGTCAAAAATTTTGTGTTCTTTTTCCTTTTTTAAAAATGTTTTCAGAAGGTGATAAATGCAAAGACAAACAGCATTTATCTTATTTGCCAATATAACAAAAGTAGGCTTTATTCCATTGACCTCAATACACACATGTGCATAGTGGGTGACTCATCAGCCAACATAAGAAACAGAGCTAGCATAAGTAGCTTCCTGATTTCTGATTTCCAGGTCATTGTTCCATTTGTATTTCATTCAACTACTGGTTTGTTTTGATTTCTAATGGGAGTGAGAAGAAGAAGGAAAATGGGGAGAAAACTATGACCTATTCCTCCTTAATGAAGAGTAGCAAAAGCAACCTTATTTTTGCAAATAGAATTTGAGATACCAACTTACCTGCTGCAAACCTTTTCTTGATGAGTGAAAATCGGTACCCTGCTCCAACAAGTTCAATGTCACAGCCAGAAAGAGTGCTCCCTTCACTTGTGAATTGTACAACCAGTGGGGAAGGTTTGCTTGGGCCTTCAGACAGCTGAAATCTTGCTAACAAGGAACCCACCCCTTAAAAAAAAAGGGGGGAATATTATAAGAAAATAGGCAACACAACGTTCTGGATATAATTTTGGAAGTTAGAAAGTTAAAATACAACATTGGACTTACTTGGAAATAGTATAAGTTTTAGTGACAAAATTGTGATGAATGAAATGTGTCATTGAATAGTATGAATACTTCTATTTGCACGTTGGTGGAAATGTATTCAGCAAAATGGTGTTTCAAAATTTGGGGGCATGCTGCATGGAAGGCCATGTGTTTTCATAACTCTGAATAATATCAGAGGAGAGTGAAAAATATTTACTTTAGGAGTATGGATCTACTAGAGGACAGGAACATGCCTCCATAGAGCTCTTTCCTGAAAGGATGGTCTGTGAGTTGAGGTCTTGATAGGAAGGGGAAGAGGAAGAGTACTGGAAGGATTGTTTTTATTGATTGAAATAACTAAATGAAAAAATGGTGTTAAATAGTCTGCTTGTTTTTTAGTGCCTCAAGTATTTTGGTTCAATAATTGTCATTTTTTAAACATTTATTCTTTAGTTGTGGGTGGACACAATACCTTTATTACATTTTTATGTGGTGCTGGAGATCGAACTCAGTGCCTCACGCATGCTAGGTGAGTGCTTTTCCTCTGAGCCACAACCCCAGCTCCATTATTAGTATTTATCTACAAGTTATTTCAGCTTTATAAACTAAATAAAAGAAGCCTTTGATTTCATTACCTCCATTTTCTGACTTCTGAGAGATATCAGGAATCTTCCACAGTATTCTTTGTTGTTCAGCATTCCTAAAAATAAAATAGAAAAAAAGATCTTTCTATATGTACATTTCAGTTTAAGGAACGCCATGTTTTTTCAAGATAGTATTTTTTAAAAGAATGTTGAAAAGTTTGGCTATAATTTTAAAAATTATCCCTATGTACCTATTCACACATACATTTCTCTCTGATTCTAACTTGCTACAACACGGTGGGGTAGACATTTAGAGGATAATAAAAAGTTTAGAAAAAAGTTTTGAGCACATCTGTTGAAAGCATAAAAAGTATTAGCTAATAATTTCAGAACATTTAAATTGCAACTGTCATCTGGCTGGCATCATTTAAAAAATTATACTTTTTGTTTTTGACGGTAATAGGGAAAAACTAGAATGTTATTTCTAGGACAAGTCCTTTATCATGGACGCTTCTGGCACTCGGTATCTATTCAGTTTCTACCTTCACCACCATGCCTTTTTATGTAGTTCAGAGGCTAAAAGAGGTGCACTGTGATTCCCAGATGCTCTTGCAATAAGAGTCTGAGATGCAAATTTGGTCCCACCAGTTACAGGCACAGTTTGAGACCTGGAAGGAGAGGGAGGCAGAGGCCCTTTTCTTGCTGCCTTCACTATTTCCCTCTGGCCAGCGACCCAACTGAGATGTGGAGTTCTTCCAACACAGGGGTGCAGTCTGGTCTCTAGTATCACAGGTGTTGAGAGGCAGGAACTTCCTGATCTTTGCATCAGAGTTACAGGAGTGGGTTCTTGAGTTTAGTGATTCCACTGGTAGTCTCCTGATTTTTTTCCTTCCCACAGCTATGGCAAACGCAGCCAGTCCCTTGGTGGGCCAGTTCTTACAATGTTTGGGAAACATTCTTGGAGGTGCAGCCTAAGCCTGTTCCTTTAGCATTTCCACCATCATGGAAGCATTGAAATCCCTGTGCTAAATCATTATTGCTTAAAATAATGTTTCCTGCCCTGAACCCTCCAACATTGGCCTACTGTGATCTGCTACAGGAAACACAAAAGCCAAGGAGTCTGCAACCAAGGGATGAACGGTTTCTTACCAGACTGCAGGTGGAAGCACGGCCTGGAGCTTGGTCACGCCTCCGTCTATGGGGACCAGGAACTGCACATTGTTCAGGGCCACGGCTGTGGACATCGCATCCGTGTTGTATTTGTAATCTATGCGCAGGTCTGTGCTCGCAGGCTCACATCGCCAGTTCACTGCCAGGTTCAGAGGCGTGGACTGAATGCCCTGGGCAGATACCTTTCCAGACAACAGGAAAGGGAACATTTAAGGTTCAAACATTAATGTGAAACTAAACCAGAAGCTCTGATTATCTTCCAAAAGAATGGTTTTAGGTATCAAAATGTCATAATGTTGTTTGTGTGGCTCACAAAGGAGCACTCAGTGAAAAGCACTATAAAGGGTGCTATGTGAGAGAGAGCTGGGTACTTCAGGCAAACTGTTCCAGATTAAAAATATAAAGTCAATTGCTCAAATCTCTAGGGCACTTTAGAATTTACAGTGCATTTCCTTCTGATTAGGTATAGCACACTGGTTAGGAGCTGAGACCACAAAGGCCACAAAACTAGACAGTCCTGGTGTGAATTCAGATTCTGCTACTTAGAAGCTTGGACATAATCTTGCTGAGCCTCAGTTATTTCCTTGTATGCCTAATGGGAATTATGATAATAATATTTTCCCACAGGGCTGTCAGGAAGATTGAAGGAGATGAAACAGCACAGGTCCAGCACGGAGCAAGGAATTCATATTTTAATAAATGTTTCCTATTAATATTCTCACCATATTTGCTCTTCACAGCAAACTGTGAGATAGACAAAAAGGGTTATTATTACTCCTTTGTGATTTTCCAGAGGAAAGACTTGACCTCTGGTCCTCTAACTCGAAGATCTACTTTCTGGTTTGAATCAACCATGAGTTAGTTAGACCAAAACAAAGTCAGATTTGAAAGAATCAACAGCATTTTGTCTTCTCTAAAGACTAATATAATTTCAAATTCTGGGTCCACAGTGAAAAATTCAGTGTTATCACTATTTGATTATGATTGTGAATAGATCTCTTGGAGATTCTCCTCTGCTAGGTTTGTGTACACTGTAGGGACCGCATGGGGGATGTCTTTGAGCTTGGATTTTTATTCAGGGAATATGGGTTTTGTTGCTTTTGAAGAATATACGCAACTCACTGGAAATGTCAGCACATATGAACGCCCTGGGGAAGGGTCCTCAGGGTAGGTTGGCTCACAAGCAGGGGTGGTTGTTGTAGACAGTCCAGAAATGGGTTCTTTTTTAAAAAACATAGTAGTGCATTTTAATTATTTGGAATAACAGGCTCTACTGTGACATATTCGTATGTGCACATGACATACTTTGATCGCATCCACTTTACCATTATTCTCCCTTACCCTCCCTCTCCTCCTCTCCTCCTCGGATCTTCCTTTATAAGATGACAGATATGAATTTTGATGAAAATTTTAACCAGACAGCCACTATAATAGTTTTTAAACTTAAAATACTGTTAGCAGTATAATCCTTCCTACAAATAAACTTTTTTTTTTTTTTGGGAAATCTGTTATCTAAAGTAGATCAAAAGCTGGGCAGCACCTTCCTCTCCATGCTTTTTCTGCACTCTCTCCTTCTCTACCACCCTCAGTAGTAGCTCTCAACTCTGTAAGGGCTCCTCTACGCAGGGAGGGGCTTTTTGCATAGGTGAAGATGCATTTTTGATTGTCCCAATTTCTGGGGCATGCTATTGGTGGCCACAGACTAAACGTGCTGTGATTTGAGGGCAGTCCCACAAAATGCTAGCAGTGTCCCCAACCCCATCTCCTTGCATTGTTGAAAAACAACAATACAATAGAATCACAGCAAAAAGTTCAGAGTACTTTGAAATATAGTAGGCTATGTGCTCCTTGTAATAACCTATAAAATTTCTAGATGGGTATATTTTTACCCTTATTTTCAGCTGCAGAAAGGGTTCTGGGAAATTAAGTACCCAAGGTCAGGGGCCATGGAGAAACTTACTTAATTCTAGAATTTAATCTCTTGCCTACACTTTACATTTTACACAAAGCTCATATTGCAATAAGTGAATTATCTACTCTCTAGATTCAATCAATAACAAACATAGAGAATACAAATATTCCACAGGATTTAGAAGTTTAAAAATCTTTTAATATGAATTGAAAATGTAGATAGAGTGTTTGTAATTAGATTCATGAAGGGAAATAACTACAGTTTTCTTTTCACAGTTGGACAGGAGAACACACATTGTACCCTGAAATTTAACCGTTCAGGTAAAAATTAAATTTGGACTTTCCATTTCTTATTCCTTTTCATTTCTCTTACAAGCTCACAGCAGCCACCAGACATACTTAAATATTTTGGAAAAAATTAAATAAAATACATTTTCTATTATTTTTTTACTTATAAAAGTAATGAGCTTATGCCATAGCATATGTTTGTTGGTACTATATAACTTATGATATTTAAAGCTTAAATGATACTGAAGTACGGCAGAAAAAATAGATGGGTAAAAAGGAGACATAAAGGAAGGGCAGGAAATAAAATTTTAATTTAAAGTTTTGCATACTTTTCCAGGACTCTCACACTCTAAGTCAGTCTATTACCCAGGCTTGTTATTGCCAAATTCCTGGGAGATCTGTAATTCTATCTTAGCACTGTTAATTAACATCCCCCACAAATAGATTAAGTAATGATAGATATAGTATCTTGAGGAACCTAAACTTAGGGAACTTTCCAATGCTATCTATTGATCAGATAATGAAGACTCTGTCTGCCTAAGGATTCAGAGATTGACCAGACCACCAGAAACCTCCTAGAAATTTCAGGACTAATATCATCCCGATATACCTTTCCATACTGACTTCTCACCAAGTTTCCTTTAGAAAGAGAGCCAGCCCGCCCCCACCCCCACCCCAGTGTGTTTCTGAATGGCCTGCATTCTCCCTTGAATGCATATCTACTTTCTGAAATAAACCTATCTATGCCGCTGACTGGTGGTGCTAACATTCTTTTCCAGCATGAAAGTCAAGGACCTTGCTGAGTTGAATTCCCCATCCCACTGGGAACTCCTCAGACCCTTCTTTAGAGACAACTCTGCTCCTGTGACAATACTATACTCAGGCAAAAACTTTACGTTTGTTTGCATTTATGTAATACGCACCACCATATGGATATTCCACTTTCAAACAACATTTCAATTAAGTTTTTTTCCAAACTACAGAGTGCACTAGAACCACTTGAGTAACTTATTAAAAAGTACAGATACCTAGGTTGACACAAGTAAATACAAATATCCGACGGTGTCAGGGTGAAGGCACATATTATGTCTAAATGTCTGCCCATACATTTCTTTTTGGCATCAGTTCAGAGCCAGCATTGGTCTATGGATTCCCTGGTAACTACACCGTGCAGTCATTTTTGAGATGTACTGATTTCTATTAAAATGCAACTTTCCTCATACAAAGAAAAGTACTCTGAATATATTTACTCATCAAAATTATAATGCATTAAAAACAATATAGGAGAGGCTGAGAGTGTAACTCAGTGGAATGGCACTTGCTTAGCATGCCCAAGGTCCTGGGTTGGATCTCCAGTACAGGAAAACAAAAAATCAAGGAGGTCAAGGGAATCAGGTGGACACTCAGACAGGTAATGTTGTTTCTAATAGACTTATTTACTAGATCAGTAATAATTTCAGGTAAGGGTAATCCTAGGCACGAAAAGAAAGCTCTCAGATACAATATTATATTTTATCGAACATATTTTTGACATTGAGTTATTTCTTAAGCTTTATTAGAATGGTTTCATAGGAATATTGCACTATGAAAAAACCTAGTTTATTTACATGTAATTATTTAAAAGAGAGGCTTTAGAACACTAATGGTCTTAAAATTACAGTGATCTATTTTAATGATACTTACACTTTTAACATAATTTTTTGTTATCTTAATTTTGTCACGTTTATTTAACTTTTTAAGAATATTTCATTTATAAGTTTATTTTTTAATTTTTTTAGTCATACATGACAGCAGAATGTATTTTGACATATAATACATACATGGAATGTACATACATCAATTATATTGTCTATTATATTCTTCTGCCCTTCCTATCCTCCCTACTCCTCATTTATAAGTTTAAATAAAGATACACATGAATGTTATTGTCATTGGTCGCAAAGTAGCTCTTTAAGGTGTCCATTTCCTTATATTGACAGCCTTCATATAATATTAAAAGAAATATTATTTTATTTATTTTTATTTAATATTAGGTACTTTAGAATGGAAGCTGTAATGTGAAAGACACCCTGGCCACATAAATACGCTTACCTGATATTTGAGCATGTCCACATTGTAATATGTAGCCTGGGGTTTTTGTTCAGACACTTTCTTTAGGTGAGTCATCAGATTTGGCATGTTTACCCAGAATTCCTTGGTATTGGCATCATTTTGTGTATTATCACTATTTAATTGGGAAGAAAAATGATTAAATAGCAGCTTATAACAAATAGCATCTACACAAGCAGCATCACAGAAAATTGCCATCTGATTTCTGTATCCACCCTGGATATTATATTATTCACAGTTGTGTAGATTAAGTACAAATGTGGTTCTGAACAGTATCATGTTAACAGATTGAAATCCATAGCGAGGAAATATTGTGTTCTAATTCTCAGTGAGTACCCAGTAACATTAACTAGTCACCAATCATGGTTAATCATGATTGCTATAAACCATGATTTTTATGGTTGCTTTAAAGAATGAATTATACTCCGATCTTAATAGTTCATCTCAGTTTTGCCTAAAATTGTCAGTTAATGCAATTAAAAAGCCGAACATGTTTATTTGCTTTGAATTCACCTGACCCATAGCTTTTAGAAATTATCCAGTTAAAGAATTGGCCAGAGGAAAACATGGTCTTTATTACTAACCAAGGACAAAAGGGTAACACTAAAATTCCCATGCTACCTTTTCAACATTCAAGACTTCATCCAAGAGTATATAAACCATAAAGACATCCCTTCCCCTCCCACTCCTCTGACCTATCTAGAGTTCATCTATTTCTTCCACACTCCTTTTCCCTACCCCACTATGAATCAGCCTCCTTATATCAGAGAAAACAGTTGGCATTTGTTTTTGGGGGATTGGCTAATTTCACTTAGCATTATCTTCTCTAACTCCTTCCATTTACCTGCAAATGCCACGATTTTATTCTCTTTTATTGAAGAGTAATATTCCATTGTGTATATATGCCACGTTTTTTTTTTATCCATTTATCTATTAAGGGGCATTTATTTGGTTCCACAGTTTAGCTATTGTGAATTGTGCTGCTATAAACATTATCTCCTCAATCTATACCCAAAGGACTTAAAAATCATGCTAGTTTTAAAAACAAATGCATCTGCTCAGTTTAAAAATAATCTAAGCCATATATTCATGATTATTTCCTCAAAGAACCTGCTTTAATAAATATTCCAGAAAGCTTTGCCAATTAAATGCCTACAGAGGCACAGAACTCCTCAATGCTTAAGAAATCATGAGAATTCTTCAGTCTCATATTTGGGTTGACAACTTTTCCTGAACATTCTTTGAAGGCAAACCCCTCTCCTAAGATAAAAGTAGAAGTCACAGGGATTGCAAACCTAAATGCTTCCAGGTTGCTAATCTCAGTGACATCTTTTAGTAAAGATAAATGAGAGAATTGGCTGGATCTAAGATGATAGATGCCCAAAGGCTTATACTGCAGTGAAAACAGCTTGGTCACCATTGTCTTTTAAAAATTAGGGGTGGTGGTGATGGTGAAGCAGCAGTACATAACAAAACCAAATGGGCAATCACTGGCTAAAGAGTCACCCATGCAGCCCTGCCATGAAAATGAAAGATCCAGGCTGATGTGGGACTCAGCCTGTCACTGATGGGCAGACCTGGCTGTAGCCAGAGAGATTCTCAGGGGAGAGAGGCCAGGCAAGGGTACACTTGGAGCTCAAAGGAAATAGTAACAAGTTTTGACTTTAGACAGATGCAATGTGAAGCCACCAGAGGGTTATGAGCAAAGATGGCCTGAGTCATGTTAGAAAACATCATTTGGCTATTTAAATACATTGTAGCCAGGCAAGATTGGATTCAGGAAGGGAGGCAGTTTGCAGTGGTCCAGGGAAATGATAGTGGCCACTTGCTCCAAGGAGGTTACAGCAAATTAAAAATGTGGCCACTTTAGACAGAGATTTTTAAATAGAATATAAGGATTTAGTGAAGAGGAAGCTACCAAGAATGACTCCTTTGATCTCATCCACTGCAAATAAGTAACTTGATATAGTTTTATCATTTTAATATCATGAATATATGTATGTCTGTGTAGCTGTTCACATGCATAATAAAGACATAATTTCAGATTTAATAGTTAGAAAATGTGAAAAAGTATTTATACAAACACATTGGCTTGAACTTCTTTGATATCATACCTGTAAATATCCATCAAAACACTTACCATTATAATGAATATAATAATATAATTATGTTTAACAAGAAAATTTTTTTAAGTTCATGTGAAGACTAGCTCATGGTTCAAATATTATTTAATTTTAAAAGATGCTGATACAACAAAGGAGTTCCCTATTATTGGGTTTATTATCCAATGAATAAATTGTCACTAACACATTGAATTATTTTCAATGACTCTTTAACAACTTCAGATAGCTGTTCATGAAAATACCCATATGCATATGCAGCTACACATACACACAGAATTATCCTTGGAAAACTTTGACAGCTGGTCAAAGTTCTGAATCTACAAGCATATCAGAGCAGTGGTAGTTAGCCACAGTGCTACTGCTAAGGTATATTTGTCATCTAAGTACAAAATACTAAACCACATATATCTAAAAGTTTATGCAAAATCATATTTACCAGCAGAGAAGTTGGGGATTTGGCAGGACATGTTCTAACCTGCTGAAATTTATAACCCGAAAAGTCAGAGCAGCTGGGGATGGGTTGTTGGCAAAGTGTCTGGTGATGCCGGCAGGAAAGGACAATACCATTTCTCCAGTAATCTTAACGATACATCTGGTGTATCAAAACACATGAGAGAAGAGAGAGAGAGAGAGGAAATCTAGGTCAATACACTGTCAATCAAAACATCTAAGAAAAAGAAAAGATTTGGGTAAGTATATAAATAGCAAGAGAGATGATAGGTGTGCTCTTAATTCCTCTCTCAGCTACTAAGTCATTTCTAATTTACATGAGAACTTGTTGCTTAAAACTTACTTTTAAAGAGTGAACTATAAGAATCAAAGTACAAAGTCTATAGGTTGTCCTCACAAATAAAATCATCTACTCTTGTGATTCTCACTTTGATTTCTGAATTTTTGGCAGCACGTTTTAAGATATTAAATTGCATCATATTGTCACATTTTACTGAGACTTTGAGTAATGGGGTTAGTGCCTTAAGCATAGTCTTTTACATACTCATGAGGTAAAGTTCTTGCTTCCTATTTAATTAGTTCTTTATTCTATTAACTTGTCTATTTGGTCATAATTATAAAATCAGACCTAAAAATTAATGCAATAAAATGATTTTTATATGTTTATTTTATTTATATGTGATGCTGAGGATCAAACCTAGGGCCTCGCACATGCTAGGTGAGTGCTCTACTGCTGAGCTACAACCCCAACCCCCAATAAAATGATATTTTGGAATGAAAAATACACCTTTTTTGTTAAATGGGCTTTATGAAGGCACAATTAACATACAAGAAACTGTACTTACTTATAGCATAAAATTCTATAACATTGTATGATGTGAAGTCACCATACAACCAAGATAACCATTTCTATCACCCTAAAACTTTCCTCCTGCCTTTTTTTTGTTCATCATTTTTTAGTTGTCGATGAACCTTTATTTTTTATTTATTTGTGAGAATCGAACCCAGTGCTTCACACATGCTAGGTAAGCGTGCTACCACTGAGCCACAACCCTGTGCCCCTCCTGCCTTTTAACTCCATTTTTGTAATCTCTCTACCCCAACTTTCCACTCCTGATCCCTAGGCAATTGTTAATATGCTTTCTGTTACTACATTAGTTTGCAATTTCTAGAATTTTACATAACAGAATTACAAGGAATGTACTTTAGAGGTGTCAAAGTTCTTTCTATGAGAATTATTATTTTGATATTCATCCATGTAGTTGTGAGCATCAATAATTCATTTCTTCTTGTTGCTCTGAAGTACTTGTATGTACTACTACAATGTTAAAAAGAATCCATTCGCCTGTTGAAAAAACATTCAGGTTCTTTCCAGTTTGGTCTGTTATTAAGGTGTGATAAATATGTATGTTAGGCCTTTGTATGGATACATGCTTACCTTTCTCTTGGTAAGAACATTAGTGGAATCACTGGAACACATGGTAAGTGTATCTTTAACTTTTGAAGAAACTACCCAACTGTTTTCTAAAGTGGAAAATAAGCTGTATGACAGCATTTTACTAGTTTCTTCTCTAGTCTGTGGCTTAGTTTTTCCTTTCTCCTAAGAGCACTTTAAAGGGCAAGTTTTCAGTTCATCAATTTATTTCTTATAGGTTATCTCTAATCCAGTTATACTTTTAGTGTCCTAAGTAGTCAAATTTTTTTTACCTATAGAAGTTTTCTTTCTTTTTAGTTTTGCATGTACTTTGTGATCTATTTTTGGTTAACTTCTATATACAGTGTGAAACATAGATCTGAGTTTATCTGTTTGTATGCAGCATCTATCTAATTGTATCAGCACATTTGTTCAGAAATGACTATCCTTTCTCCACTGAATTACTTTGGTGATTTTTTTGAAGTTCGATTGTTCATGTTTGGGATGGTGTCTGGATCCACTGTTCTGTTTCATGGATCTATTTTGCCTATTTTAAAACCAATACCACACTGTCTTGATTACTGTAGCTTTACAACAGTTCTGAAATCAAGTCATGGTAGTCACCAACTTCGTATTTTTTCAAATTTGTTTTGGGTATTGTATGTCCTTGCATTTCTATATGAAATTTAGAATCACTGTATTAATTTCAACATAAAATAAACTTATTACCTTTCTCCTTCTTTTTGCCAACAAACTCCATGTTAAGTCTTGTCAGTAGAGGGCGCTGGACAAAAAGCATGTTCAATTCCAGTGGGCTTGTTAGGCAGGTTCCTATAAATGTACAGGGCTTTTCTAGGGCCAAACTCCTACAATGAATGTGGTGTCCCCTAGAGTGGGTTGTAAAAGTAGTTCTGCCAGTGACCAGTATCATAAGCAGCTTTCCTATGGGCTCATGTAGTTCAAGTGACTGGGCTGCCCCAATGACCAGATTCTACAAAGCAGGAAGGGTTTCTGGCTCTGGGCTCTTGCTTTTGCAGTACACGGTGGCCAGCAGCACCACCTGCCATTAGTTTCCTTTGGCATCTTCTTAAGCCAATTTGGCAGTGGATTGTCTCAGCAACACACCTCCCCGTGAACAGTTAGTCTGCAGGGCTCTGCCTATGCCATGCCCAATTACTTGAAGAAGTGAGCTGGCACAGCTCACCTCACCTTTCAGTAGGACAGTCCTTCACCTGAGGTCCAGTGTTTGCAAACCTTTGTTTCATGCATTTTGCCCATATTTGAGCTATTCCACGTGAGAGAGTAAATTGGTCTGATACTCTACCTTGGTCAGAAGCAAACATCTCAAAAAGTTTATTTTTCTTTGGAAAACAGAAAATACAGTTAGCTCTCAGCTTCTGCAGATTCCATGGAAAATTGTGTCTGTACTGAACAACTACAGACTTCTTTTTCTTGTCATTATTCCTAAACAGTACAGGATACTGCCATTATATATATATATATTATTTATAATGTCTAATATCATATAATGTATATGATATTAGACATTATAAATAATATAGAGATGATTTAAAGTATATAAGAGGATTGTATAAGTTATAGGCTAACATGGTACCATAAGGGAATTGAGCATCTGCAGATTTTGGTATCTGTGTATGTGTGTGGGGGTTTCCTGAAACCTATTTCTCCCTCTACACATTGGGGGATACCTGTATTTAAAACAAGAGACCTTCTTTAAGATTTCCCTATACATCTGGATAATTGACTCATGTATCACTTCAGCTCCAAACTCAAGAATGAAATTTCTAGGTTAATAAATGAAAACTTTGCTCACATTTGAGAACAGAAGACTCAATTTTCACCCATAGTCACTTGATGTACTATGCAACTCTGTGATTGATGGGATACACCTAGCTCAGGTGAGATGGTACATTTTCAAAATAGTGGGTGGGAAGAACTGCTACAGCTTTGTATGTGTAATGCTGGGTCTGGGTTAGAAGTAGGGCGAGGAAAGATGAGTTTCCTCAAATTGCCATGTATGTCTCCCTCACTCAGATGTTATCCATGAATTTGCACCGCTCTGAATAAGAATTTTGCTTTCTGAAAGTTTGCATTTCTGTCTCCCCTGGAGAATATTACTGATCTCCCAGACTGGGCATAAATTGCTGTCTTTCTCCTCTACTTTTTATATTCATTAACCTTGTTTGATTACTGGTGTTTAAGTGGTGCCTAAATTAGCTTCTCCTCAAGCTAATTCTACTCTTGATGTTTGTCAACACATGGAAATGTAGAATATTACATTCTGGAAGAAAACCACAGTTTTTCAGAGCACTTGTTAATTTACATGTCAGCACCTACCATCACTCAGTATATTTCAGTTAGCAGTAGTGGCCCTTGTGTTTTTTAATTGATAGGGAGCCTTCTCAGTTTCTTTTCTAGGTTGTTGAAAAGGAAATCTAAGAAGTGTCTTGGTAGGGAATGAGTTTGTCTTTTGTAAGCAAGTTGGAGAGGAGAGGATGTGACATTTATTAAGTAAAAAAAAAATTACTCACTCCCTTGCCATGCAAGCTGTTATTATTATTATTATTTTGAGCAGGAGGAAATTTAAAAAAAAAAAAGAAAGAAAGAACAGTAAAACAGTTCCTGCCTCCCAAGGGCTTTCAGTGTTGGGTAACAGAGTAGTTTGCATAGTCCAGAATAAAAAGTACAGAGGCTACTCAGTTATATTTCTGCATCTCCATTGTCAGAGGCAGATCTTTGCTGATTTATTAATCCATCCAGTGTCTAACTGGATCTGAAATCTTTATATAAAATTTATTATTTTGAATATCCACTAAAGGAAAATAATTTTTTTACCTTAATGATTGTTCCTATCAGGTGGCTACATTTAATGTGAGTTCGAATTACAGAAATTAAAAATGATGTGATATGGAAATATGAACAAACTTTATGTATAAAATGTCAAGTGGTGTGAATCCTCACAAATGAAATGTTAGTCAAGAATGGCAAAAATTTTAAAGTCAAGTGGTGAATGACTTATAAATTGGATTCTCACTATTGACACAGGCAGCACCATGTTTGCTGGCTGTCAGCTGTAACACTGGCCAGTTTGGGAAGGTGAATGTTGAATCTGAATTATATGCTGTCCCCAGAAATACATCTTCCTCCCAAGTGAGACTTCCACATACTACATTGATAACTAAGCCCACAACTCTCTTCATAAGAGGTCTTCAATGAATATGCAGTTTGACATCTTTTATTTATATGCCTCTTTCATTGACTTGTATATTAAGCAAAATCCTTTTTATATTATAAGACTCAGTTCCAGGGAAGCCCTTTCAAAAGGGCTTCAACCTTCCTTAATTTTCCTTTCTCTGGTCCCATTGGACACAAGTACAGATCATTTTTAGGAAATCGACGTAGTTTCTTGTACTTCTTATCTACTATTGTGAAGGTAAGTACTGTGTTTTCAGTTCTGGGAAGACAATGGTGCACAAAATGCAGAACATAACAGGGCAGGAATTCAATGAAATGTTATAAGAATAAATTTATACTTCTAAAAACTGTAGATATGGTACCTATACAATATACCAAGTTCTATGTAATGCACTAGAATCAATAGCAACAAATAGAATATGTTGAAACAGGAAGACAATACAGAATAAATAATTAACATATGATGATAAGAGATGGGTAGCATATTTGAGAAACTCAAGTTTTTCTAAGGGATTAGAAAATTAATCCTTTTACCTTATCTTTTAATGTCTTGGCTATTCAAATGTGAACTGGTAATGTAGCAAAGGTCAAAGATTCTCTGCCTAATGACCTACTAAAAAAGATGCAAAAGTCAGAGTACCTATTCCAGGTGCTATCCATGTTTAGGGAATGAACATACCTATATTTGAATGTGTTATTATTGCATGACATTGTATGTAATAATTAAGCTAATAGGTTTCTGGATCCATTGTCTGAAAATAAGTGGCTTTGATGCAAGATAGCAGTTGGCTTTATTTCTACCTGGTTATAGAATCTGAAGTGTTTCCTGAAAGTGAATAATGAAGGAAGAAAAATAAAATGATTTATTGCCTGAACATGGAATATAGCCGCTTCAGCTATGGCTCTCAACATCATAATCTGTTCATGAATTTCAGATCTCAAAATTTTAATGAAATACAGTGGATCTTCCATTTCAATGAAATGTTATAAGAATAAATGTAAGATATACTGCAACTATTTATGACACTATAATTGAAGACAGATTGCATATATATCCATAAGCCATATATACATATGTTCATATATACATATATGTGTATATATGTGTATGTGTGTGTGTTTGTGTGTGTGTATCTATATATATACACACACACACACAAACACACACACACAAATATATAAGATATATATATCCAAAGGCTGAGCTAATTAGAAAGGACATAGGAAGGGCACTAAATTATTTGGCTCATGGGAATGCTACAATCATGGTCAGTAGGCTCACAGGTGCAGACCTCCTGACCCAACTGTCATGTGTGCTAGGGAGACTGAATCAGTATAAAAAAACCTGGCTTGTATTGTGATAGGCCCACAGGGGTTATACCACTTCTTAGGAATAAAACAAAAAATATTATTAAGGGCTTCTTTTTTAATATTTATTTTTTATTTATAAGTGGACACAATATCTTTATTTTATTTTTATATAGTGCTGAGGATAAAACCTGGTGTCTCACACATGGTAAATGAGCGCTCTACCTCTAAGCCACAACCCTAGCCCCTATTAAGGGTTTCTTATCACCCATTGCCCGACATCTGCACCTATTCTTTTATGGACTGTCTCCAAAAACGACTGTAATACATTGTGTATTACATTTATGCACAAGTCTTATTTTCCATATCAGCTATCTTCATCACCAATACTCGTCCTATTTAGTTCAATGGCAGGTACACAGTAGCCATTCTGTAGATGTTAGGTGAGTCCTTCTACTACACTTGTCCGGCAAGCACCCCTTGAGTATTCCATGCCAGATCCTGTTTAGGTGCTAAGGATATATATATGGTGGACAAAACAGTGGGGTTAAGAGAACCATAATGGACAACAGGGAAAAACATGTAAGATGTTAATGAGGAGGGTTATGGGGAAAGAGGAAGAGGGGAGGAAGGGAAGAAGGAAGTGTTGAGTGGGGAGGGAGGAAATGTGGTTACTTTATATACCTAAACAGGAAGTTCTCTGATAAATCTTCGGAAGAACCACAGAAGGATGGTCTGGGGCTGTAGCTCAGTGGTAAAGTGCATGTCTTGCAGGTGTGGCTAGGATTTGTAAATGAAGGATAAACAGCCAGGAGACCAGCATGCCTTCCCCAGAGTGAGTAGGGAGATGAGGGTGTGCAGGTCTTGAAGGACAGAGCATTATGTGTTTTTGCTTTGAGCAAGATAGGAGGGTTTTGAGCCGAGGAATGACATGACATGAGGAGAGTAGACTCTAGAGGACAGAAGTGTAAGTGGAAGACCCATTAGGGCTCTCTGAGTGAATAAGTGAGGGAGTGAGTGAAAGCCGAGTCAGAAGCAGACAAAAAAAGAATTCACTCTGGTATGATTCCCAGTGGTTTTCACACCAGCATACCATTCTCTTTGCACTCTTAGTTCTTCTTTTTAAAAAGCATGTATCTGTCTGTTTCCTTCAATGAAGGCCAGCTTGAGTTTCCTAAGGTATATGTCAGTTGTCAATAAATAGTTCTTAGAACTGATAAGACAGAAAGTTATGCAGATTCTTTGTAAAAAAAAAAAGATCCTGCACAACCAGCATGTATGTAGAAGGTATGTATATACACAGCCTAAGCCTGGTGCTCAAGCTCAGATGAGGTAGGTTTTGATTTCTATAGACACATTTCTATATGGCACATGGTTCAAGTGCTTAGAAGATGATTGAGAAAGGACATGAGAGAAACCAGAGCCCACAGAGTTTATTTCTCTACAATATTATGGACTATTATGGTTTGGATCTGGAAAGTTCCCCAAAGGATGGTATAATGAAAGCTTGGTTCCCCATGCAGCAATGTCTAGAGGTTTTAGGAAAATGACTAGTTCATGAGGGCTTTAATTTCATTGACTCATGAGGGTTAATATAACCATCAAGTGGATTAATCCATTTGATGGATTAATAACACTATGGACTACTGGGAGGAGGTGGAAGTTGTAGGCAGGTGGGGCATGGTTGAAGTAAGTATATTACTAGGGGTTGTGCCCTTGGGAACTACATCTTGTCCCCCTCCCCTTTCTCTCTGTTTCCTGGCTGCCTTGAACTGAGCAGCTTTCCTTTTCCAGCCCTTCCACCATGATGTTCTGCCTGTTCAGCAATGGAGCTGAAACTTTTGAAACCTGAGCCAAAATAAACCTTTACTCCTCCAGGTTGTTAGTGTCAGGTATTTTGATCACAGCAAGGAAAAGCTGACTAACCCATGGGCCTAGAATAAAATCTACATATTGTTGAAAGAGATGTGACATTTAGGGAGATTGGTAGATCCCAGGGGCTGGCATTACACCTAAAGGTGGAGTTACTAATTATATTGATTTTGCTGTATAATTTTGTTAGGGTTGACTTTAAAAAACTAGTGTTTCTAAAGTGTAAAGAGGATTCACACTTAGTCACACAAATTGCCACTTAAAATATATATGGGGATTCAAGTTCTAATAATACTTAATCATCACTGTTTTAAATTTTTTTAATAAAATTGTCTGCATGCACATTTAATTTTAAATTCATTCTTCCTATCATAGATAGTAAGGTTTTCTGAGCCTTAGTCCTTGTAAGTAAAAAAAAAAAAATTAAGAGAGCAATTTTTCCCTTCCCTATGTTTCCCCTTTGTTTATAATCAGATTAAGATCTGGTATCATGCTTATGACATTTAAAAACTGGTTTGACTTAGGTGTTTAGTTTTCAGTGTGGACTAATAGTTACTCTTTTATTTATTTACTTATTTATTTATTATCATGAACCCCTTTGGTAAACTGATGAATTCTGTAGTTGCTTCTCTGGTAAAATGCACACAAAAGATATGCAATATAATTTCAGGGAATGCACAGACTTTCTGAATCCTATCCATGGAACTCCTTATCAAGATGTAAAATATTTAATGATGCCACAAATATGTTCAGGTCAAGTTCATTGTCAGTACATACTGCTATAAATGAAATCAGGGTCATGTGAATACAGAGTACTGAATTTTTTCCCCTAGAATTTTAATTTTGCTATGATTTTAATTTTTCCTCTTCTTTTTGGACAGTTTTTCCTTCTTAGTGAGGATATCATATAACTTATTCCCTTGCTTCATTGGGCATTTGGGGAAGGTCTTTTTCTTCCATGTTATCATTCCCGTGATCCACTATTTCCACCTATATGTGGGTTGTTCCCTCCTGGGGAAGACTAAGACATAAAAGAAATGATCTGGACGTAGCTTTTAGGGGACCATAAACTTTCTCAACTTTGACAGAATTAGAGTGGGTTTCTGTTACTTGCAATTAAAACTGAATCAGAGATTTCTAAACAGTAAGATATCAGATTGTTGGATCTTTTGATGCTTGTTAAAAAGCAGATGAGATAATATTACTAATTAAATTTTATCCTCTATTCTAGGTGTATCAACTATTATTATTAACTGAATTCTTTATGGTTTTAAGATAAAGAGTAATATAGTTACATTTGGGCTGTCCCCTGCTAAATAGGATAGAGTTTGGAGAATACAGTGGACCACGTCCAAGGCTTACTTGCTTGGATCTGCTCCTTTGAAGTAGGCATTGACAGTTTCTGTAAATGCTGCTGCAACAGGGAGGGTGTCCTGGGCTCCCATGGTTAGGGGGCTGGGTCCCCTGGAAGAACCTGCATGAAATGAAATGCTTTCATTTATTAAGAGACATCTAGTATATATGGAACTAAAAGCCCATAAAAGGATTAAAGTATAAAATATATTACTAAAAAATGTGCTAAGAACTATAACTCTGAATGCATATTCAACATAGAGCTCAAGTATTTGAAAGGAAATATTTGGCTGGTTTACAGACAAACACACTTGAAATTCATTCAATTACGTATCACTACAGAAAAGAAAATCCAAGCAGAACAAAGTCACAAGAGTTTTCAAATGTCTTGCATAAAGCATGAGGCAGTATTTTGCATGACAGTTTGTGCAGCAGGTAGTTAATAAATAAGATCATTACTTTTCTATTTCCCATTTGAGCATTCAACCTAGTCAATTGCTCACACTTAAAACTTTGGAAGGGCCCAACAGCCAAGTGGTATCATATTACACACACTGTCCCTTTCTGGATTATTTCCATTTCAAAAAATTGAATTATTCTTAGTTCAAGTAAGCTCAAGTTTACACATCTAAAAACATATACAACCAAAATGTACATAGTGCCTAATTACAAGCACGTAAATGCACCAATTCACACTGTAAAAATATCAGCAGCTCTCCTGCTTTATTGAACACCTGCTGTGTACCAGACACCACATTCATTAGGTGCCTTACATGGATTATCTCATTCCACCTCCACCTTTGCCCAATGGTCATGCTGGTTCCATTTTGTAGAAGAGAAAGCTGAAGGTCAGAAGGGTAAACCAAAATTTGTCTTTCTAGAAAGCTCATATTTTCACCACTATACCATACAGTTTGTCTATATGAAAGATTCAACTGTATCATTTTGCTGTAATCTGTAGTTTCCAAATGCACAAAGGGTTAGAATTGCCATCTTCGTTACTAACCTCGAGGCATGGTACTGACAGTAAATAGTATTTATGTCTCATGCTCACTTCTCCCCACTTCTGGCATATGCTAGTGTTGAGTTGTTTTCTTCTGTTTTCAGTAACTTCTGTCTTTTCCAGCTATGCAAAAATTCTACCCTCTGTATACTTCCTTCCTCAATAAAACCCTTCTTGATCATTCTAGTTCATGCTAATTGCTTTCTTTTCTGTCTTCTCTTGGCTCCCAATAGTTTGGACTTGGTAACTGACAATTAACAAACATTTTTTAATATCTACTGTGTCTCTGGTGCCATTTTAGGTATTGAGGATGCAATGATATATTAAACATGATCCTTGTCCTGAAGCACTTATAGTTAAATATGTCAGGCATTTTTTTTAAGAGAGGAGAGAGAGAGAGAGAGAGAGAGAGAGAGAGAGAGAGAGAGAGAGAGAGAGAGAGGGAATTTTTTAATATTTATTTTTTAGTTTTCGGCAGACACAACATCTTTGTTTGTATGTGGTGCTGAGGATCGAACCCGGGCCATATGCATGCCAGGCCAGCGCACTACCGCTTGAGCCACATCCCCAGCCCATATAGTTAAATATGTATTAGCAGCAGCAGTATCTTCATCATCAACCTTCACTATCAGGGTTACCTCCACCACCATTATTTGTTGTACACTTGCTGTGTGTCTATGTTGGAAGAGAGTATTATCTTCATTTTGCAGTTGACAAAACTGCTATAGTTTGGACCTAGAGTGTTCCCCAAGTGCCAGTATGTTAAAGACTTGGTCATTAGCCTATAGCACCATTAGAAGGTGGTGGAACCTTTAAGAAGTAGACCATTGAGAGTATGGTCCTGACAGAGACACTGGGACCTCAGCCTCTCTCTCTCTCTCTCTTTTTTTTGCTTTTTGCTGTCACAAGAACTAACCTTTACTGCTACGTGCTCCCACCATGAGGTACTGTGCTGTCACAGGCCCAAAGCAAAAGGGACAGGCAACCATAAATTGAAAACTTTGAAATCATGATCCAAAATAAACCCCTTCTCCTTTTAAGCTGATTATTTCAGGTATTTTGTCACAGTAATGGAAAACTGACTAACCCCAGAAACAAGGCTCAGAGATTTTATATAACTTACTAGTCTTACATAGCTGGTATACAAACAATTTAAAATTGTTAACTGAGATTTTGTATGATTTAAAGATTCATACATAATCTAAGGATTATATTACCTCCTATAGGCGATTGTGGTACTATTTAAGGTCAGGCAAATACCTATAGCACTATTAAGAGTGTGTATATCTAAGTCTTTGTTGCCTGTGGGATTGTAAATTCCTAAAATGAAGGAACTAAGGCATGAGCTTCTTTTATGGCACTGCCACACTCCCTATCACAGAACCAGAATTACATTAACCCTTTTGTAAATATATGTTTAATTATCCATTGTTGGATCTCAGTAAGGCAAAGTCTATACAAATCTGTAAATAATGAAGGCACAATAAAAAAGAGGCCATTACTTTGTAATGTTATTACTGAGTTTATTTGCTCATTTATTCACTCAAATATTTATTGAGTGACTAATAGGTTCTGGAGGAAAAGTGCTTCCCTAAGTAATGGTTAAAGTAGGGCCAGAGTGGAGAGAGGGCTGGAATACTCACAGTCACCTTTTGATTGGAAGTTGGAATTAGTGAGGGGGCAGAAAAACCTGCAAACGCTAGAGTAATTCTATAAATGCTTTTAAAGAATGGTATGAGCAAAGCTCAACTGCTGTTTGAAAAGGTCAAGGAAGGCTTCACTGAGAAGATGATACTGGAGCTGAGGTTTGAGGATGAATAAGGTCTCATGAAGGGGAGGAGAAAGGAGAGCAGCATGCACATGTATGTGGGCCTGAGCAGACACACGGCCTTTTGAGAAAGCACAGGGAGTGTGTTTTCAATGTGCGGAGGAGAGTGCAACTGGTACTGGAGGGTGAGACATGGAAATGGATGAATCTCAGGTCATCAAGAGTTTTGTATAAATGTTTGGGAAAATTTATCTTTATTTTGTAAATGATTTATAGGCATTAAAATCATAGTTTCTTTTTTTAAAAAATCATACTTTCTTTTTGACAATCTTATACAAATCCTGGGTGTTTTTCTGAGCAAAGTATCTATCTATCTATATCTATTTATCTATCTATCTAATTTATGTAATTTGAAGAAGTATTATAAATTCCATAAGATCCTTGAGGGTCCTAGAATTGAGTTTAGAACACCTTTTATTGAAGATGAGAGTCTCCTGAAATATTTGAGAGGGGGGCTGTGAGCTTTAGTTTAGATCCCATTGGCTATATTGTGGTAGACAATTTAATGAGGGAGACAATAATGAGGTGAGACTTCTTAAAAAGAAAAGAAAATTGGTGAAAAATGCAGATGTTCATATATAAAAGAGAATGTTATGGGTATTTTATTTTTTAATTCTGCTAAGCATTTAGTAGTCTTTCATGACATTCTTGTGAATAGTGGAAGTTGGGTGGATAATAATCTTTCTAAGTAGTCTGACAGTTAGATGAATCACAATATCTAATGAGCATCAATCAGGGATTCCATGTCTTTTTTGTTTTCTTTTGTTTTGAGGAGAAACTCTCTGGGACATGATCTCAGAGGTCTGTCCTTAGTTTGGGCTCTCTAGTTCCTTGGATAAAACTAGAAAAAATGCTCAGAAATAGCACATTGTAGAGGCTGAGAGCATGGCATTTGACATTAGACACACCTAGGACTGAGTTCTGTCTCTGCCCTCATTATCTAAATGATCTTTGGCAGGAATGATGTAATAATACCCATTTTGTAGACTTGTCCTCAGGATAACATAAGTTAGAGCATTTAGCCCAGCACTTGGTTCATAGAAAACACTGAACAACAATGAGCTATTTTATGATAATTATCATAATTTAACATCGTATACAGAGGTTATCTAAAATAATAACAGGTTTATTGAAATGTTCAAAAATTTCTCAAATTTTTGGGATACTTAGCTGGCAATAACTAAAAAAATATTGGCACAAATCAGTGTGAAATGCTTACCTATCAAGTTTAAAAATTAGTCAAACAATTGTAGCTTGAGGAAGACTGACTTGGTGGAAGAATGTGTGAGGGGAAAAAACCCTTCTGGGGGTTTCAGCTAATCAGCTTTCTATTGTTGGGTTCCAAACACTTCAGCTAACTTGGGCTGTATTAATGGAGGAGTAACAGAAAGATCGCTGGGAGTGATCACTGTCTTCGTTGGCTCAAAAGCATATGAGATTGCAATGAGAACACTAGTTCACTACAACTTGTGATGTACAAGGCCATCTAGAGTCTGACTTAGTTTTCTCTCTCATGATCTGTGTCCTTCCTCCTACAGCCCTTACCTAGCTATGCCTACCTCTGGGCATATAGTCCTTGCTGTAGATCTCATCATAATTTCCAAGGAAGCAGAAACACACAGAACACTAAGCATTTCCAAAATCATTCTTTTACCTTAAAAGACCCACAGTTTACAACTCTACTTTCTGGACATACCTATACATCTATAGTATGCCATTTTGGATTTTTCTTTTTTCTTTTATTAGATAATTTTCCTCATTGCTATCTGTTTTTCATATCATTTCCCACAACTATTTATTATTCTACAAACCTTATCCTACTGTTAGGCCATTTCTATGTACTAATCGAAATTCATCTTTGTATGAATTGAATTGATCTTCTCCTCCTTTTTAACTATTTCCTTAATTTGATTACTTTTTGGTTTGGGACCAAACCAAAAAGCAGATAATTTTTAACTGTTAAGAATGCCAGGGTAATATGAAAAATTGTGCTCTATATATGTAATAAGAATTGTGATGCATTCTGCTGTCATATATAAATAAAGAAAGAAGGCCAGGACATTTTACATAACGATTATACTCAATCATAATGCTATTAGTAATAAATGAATGCTTCTGTTCCTCCACAGAACCTCAGAATCTTTGTTTAATAGGATTATTGGAAACTGGAATAAAACCAGGAGAATGTCCAGGATGGTGAGAAACAATCCTTATGGCTGAGAGGACTAAAAGAAGGCTCTGGAAATTGTTTTATAATACCTGAAATAATATCACTAGTCAGTGACTCAGG